TAATCGACTCCTCAGGAATGAAGAGCATGTTTTCCTTGGGCGAGTATCGATCAGGGTTCTAACCACGGACGGTGGGTGTGTGATACTGTGTCCCTTCTGCTATACCTTTAGGAGTACACTATAAAATGCGAGCACGTGGTGTTAAGACATAGTTGAACAGCTTTGCTCAAATCCCGTTCTATTTCTCTTATAGGTCAAAATATTGACATCGGCCTAATGCCTGATGTTCTTCTATTCCCCATAAAATAAATGATGAATAGCTGGTCGGTCGCAAGTCGCACTAGAAATGGGTTTGGATCAAAAACCACTTGTTCGTGTCTGCCATTGCATCAAGGCTTCCTTCAAGTCATTTGAACTATTCGAAAATTGGAATTTTCTACAGCCAGAGGGACCCAAACTATGCATACACCCTTAATTGTACAACAAATCGATATATTGACTATTGATCGACTACGATAGCTAATACTGCAGCGAAGTGCCTCGTTTCTAAGTTCATCCCACCCCTACCCCCTAACGTTTGATTGCTCTTCTTTGAAATGAAAGGAAAGTTTGAATTCTGGGTCAGGCAGACAGATGGATTACACAGACGCAGAAGGTCGTATCTAGTGAGTTGGATCAAAGAGGATGAGGAAGGAAAACTTCTGGAAGCCTAGTCAAAAAACTTACGTTGGAGCCTTGTGCCTCTACACCAACTATGGCACATTCAGGAAACTCTTCGGCACAATCCCTTAGACAATCGCCATAAGTTTGGGTATTGAAAGTTTTATAGATGTACATATCATCCCATGTGACATTTCCATAAGTGGTGGGCTTGAACGTGCAGTAAATGGCTCTGTGCACCTGGAACGGAAATTCGGTTCCTCCATGGAGGTATATAATAACGATTTAAAAGTATAAATGGTAATTTTCTCAGTGTGGGATCGAAATTGTAATAGATCTTCTACAAATTTAAAAAAACGAATAGGTGTAGCTGTGATTTGTATGGCTTCGTGGTTTTCTACAAGAAGGGGATTGTCACAAGGAGCAAAAGCATTCCCGAACCGTCTGTCGAACAAATGGGGAGCGTCTGATCAAGTAAAGGGACGGGAATTTTCGGAAGAGCCATTCAAAAACATGCGCCTTCATTTTCATGGGGATTGAAAAGCGTATTAACCGGACTGAGCTTGTCCCCTATCACACCACCTCCTTTTCCTGCTTCTTTTTTATTACATTATGTTCTTTTGAGCTTATTACATGTAAGCAAAAAGTATGTGTAACAAGTAATATTCAAGCAAACACAGCGAAATGATAGAAAAGTCAGGAGGGAGCAAGGATGGCCACTAAATTCGAAAAAATCTTTTTTCTCTTTCCTCGACGTTAGCGAAGAATGTGCCACATGCAGCTAGGTCGTGGACAGTGATCAGGTCGAGGTCCCTCTTTTCTTCTTCGTTTCCTACTCCGATTCTATTACTTTACCCTCCGTAAGCTCTTTGTAGGAATAACCGTTCACTGCTGACGAGGCCACTGACACTTTCTGATACTGATGGGACGGCATTATCAAGGTTTAGACAGAACTCACCTTTTTCGCTCTAATCATGAAAATCAAAAGGAGCATTTCGTGATTACCAGTAGCCTTAAAGAATATAGCATCTGTACGAAATCCATCTTTACCCCTTCATTGCCACCCACAAGACAACTCCTAAGGTTGCCATAATTTTCGTTTTAATTCGCTTCTCTTCATCTTGATATATTATAAATTTTCATCAAACTTTCATCCTAGCAAAAGAAAAAGAACCTGTGAGAGAAGAAGAAACCATGCGAAAGGCTTAACGAAGAGTTGGCGAAGAAACATGTACCCTAAATATAACGAAATCTCTTAGACTTTGTTTTGGTGATAACTTCTACAGTATTCCGAACAATTGGAAATCAGGGAACAACATGAAAGATTCTATGTATGCAGCAATTTCTTGATTCACTTGGGAAATTACTGAAAGGGATAAAGGTGAAGCTTCAGACACGAATATCTGCCTTAGAGTTAGAATGGCCTGGTTGGCCGGGGCAACGGGGTTTTGATTTTTGGATGAAGAACACCTCTGGAATTGGGACCCATTGTCCGCGCTTCAATGCTTTCCGTGAAGGGCGAGAACCATTAGGCCTATGTTCTTCAAATTCTTTTCAGACTACTCAAGATGACAAAGTGCAACAGAAGTTGGCTGAGTCGTCTCAACGTCTTCTGTTCCATAGAAGAAGCACAGGTTATCAGGATGTAGAGTTTTTGAGAAGGCAATTTCTATGAATCTGTAGAACGGATAGCTTACTGTGTCCGAAGGAATCGCTCGTGTAGAACAAAAAGAAAGGGCCATTGGAGTCGTGGTGGTATGACTGGCGGCAAATCCCCATTAAAAGTAAATTTATGGACTTCACGGGAAAGCGATGTTCCCAGCGAATCAGAGTTCAGGAAGTGATGACATTCTATAGTGAATTGTCGTGAATGGAGCATACTTTCCTCGAATTTTGTTGCGGGGTGGGGTAGAGTCAAACTAATTCAAAATGATTCTACATATTTGACGTAGAGGCACTTGAACCGGAGGAAATTTTTATGAAATGGAAGAAATAATAAAAAAAATGAAAAACGGTAGCCTTCATAGAAGATCGCTTCTCATCAAAGATGGTGTTGCTTAAGCATATCTGGAACAATGCAAGTACAAAGTGAGAGAGAAACTCGGTGTACTGAGTTACTAAAAAGTAATTCATCTGATGCTAAAGATGTAATATGGCTGTCCAATGTAATTTGAAATAATGGAGAACATGTTGGGTGAGACGATTACCAAGAAAAGCTACTGTAGCTGACATAGTTGGAGAAGCCACTGACGTAATATGGTTCTTGCTCCAAACTTTCATGTACTTCTTACATAACTGTTTTTGTTACTCTTTTGGCTCCTACTACACATACACTTCATATAGGATCCACTTTATTTATTTTCTTGCTACTGAGTTATCATATTTCATGCAGTATCATACTGGCCAATGTTCAACGAGTCACTCCTTGATTGCCTTATTCTCTTATCGAGTGAGTGGGTTACTACTTCAGTGGGACACTCTTGTAGGATAAAATAAATAAATGTATAAGTAGAATCCAAGAAAGCCTTTTTATCTCTTTGCATTTTTTCGGGGACTTCTAAGGTTATCATTTCCTGCCTTCTTTATTTCGTTTCTATTTTACTTCTATCTGGAGCACATATTTCATCTTATGAACGAGTCGAATCTAGTCGTATCGGATTTATATTATGAGTCTGCCATGAGTGGAGTCCTGCTGAAGTCCTGACCGTTTAAGTAACTTGGTTCCTTCTCTATTTTCACCTTGACTTTGCTTTTTGTTCAAGTGGTGCCAATCACACAAGCTTCGCTCTAATCTACACCCACCTCCCCTGTAAATTTCAGCGCAGTCACCCCCTACTGAATATCAACATTGCTCCCATCCTGCCGCCTGCACTGCCTTTATATTTGAACCCTTTCGGTACAAATTAACAATTTTCGCTCGCGCTCCGCCACCTGTGGGCACAGTCTAGTCCTGCTGGCTGCTATCAATGTTCCCATACTGCTTCCTGTATTCCTACCAAATTTGAACGCTCTGGGTTTACGGGAGCAGGAGCTATTCCTCTGCAGTGTTCTCCTTTGCAAATATTGGTTACACTTCCACACTAGGCAGTTATTTCAGTTCCTTCTAGTCAATGTTGCATAAAATTGCAAAGACCTTCTTCTGGGCGCCCAGAGCGCTTCCCTGAAGGTTCAAGCCTATCACCTATAATAATGTAATATGGTATAACATGTTCAACTACCTCACTGGCTGTACTCAAAGTTGTTTCGGATGTTCGAAGTGCTCCGGAGAAATCCCGATTGTGCCATAATTGGCGTACAAGCGCAAGGCTTTGATTTGTTTTTTGAGTTGGTTATGAAACGCATTAGACATCTGGAATTGTCCTTCTCATGGTTTCCCTATATCACCCTATATCCCTATCTTTGACTCATTTATACTGAACCAGTACATTTTTCTAATCAGGACAAGGTCTATGTCAACCTTCTGCTGAAAAGCTACCTGCTTAGAATATTTTCAACCTTCATTTCTTTCCGAGTTGTCCGTCTATGTATCTGCAGTAAAGCTGTTCGCCAGCGTTTAACGATCTGGATCATTTTATTACCGTAACTAATACACTACTGTTTATTACTTTACAAGTTACAACTTTTTTCTGTTGTACTGATTTAGTCCTAAGACTTGTTGGCCGCTCGGCTAGCTATAGTACTTTCCTATTAAAAGGATAAAAAGGATAAAGTTTTTGGCGTTAATCAATCCCGTCTGAGGGATGCGCCCCCGCACTCGACTTCCATTCAGAATCGAAGTGGGGTAATGAGTGCGTATGTGGCCTTTACAATGACTTGCAGTGGACAGCCGATGAACAAGTCAGTGCTTTTATCCTCCCAGACAAGTCTGGTACCAATTCACTGACCCCGAAGGGATGGAAGGCTTGGTTGGCCTAGGTAGGTATCGATCCGGGATTCGAACCCCTGACCGTGCGTGTGATATAGTGCGGCACTTGCCACTTCACCACCTCCGCCTACTTTCCTATTATTATATCATATTGGTATTATTTGCATCTCAGCAGGTGGCACATTTCATTATGTCGCCTATAGCTTCATAACAAAGATCAGGAATCTGACTACATATTTATGGTAACACAATTCTTCAGAGACTTAACAACTAATACTGCTAAGTCGGTGAAAAACCAACTCAAATTTCGCAAGAACCAGTAGCAAATTTATATGAGTAAAAATCATTTCAAAAGTGTCCACCAACACATCTAGCAGTTAGGTGAACTGTACTCTCCTTTTGAATTCCGTAGAAAGACAAGGGCTTGCCATTCTGAAGGGGTTTTCCTGAAATGAAAATTGTCTGGTGTACAAAATTAGAAGAAAGTACTAAATGAATCTTAACGCATGATAAGGAAGTACCATTGCAAATTAGTATCTGTTCAGCTGGTCGGATTCCTTCTCTGTCAAGGATGCGTTCCTTGAGCGTCTCAACAAGATCGGACGGTTGAACGTTGAGTGTAATGGTCTTCCCAGTCAAAGTTTTGACAAAAATCTGCATACCGCTGTAACGGATACGACTATGATACAGTCATTTATAGTTCATATAATTGCAGTATTTAATGGAAGCAGGTAACAAGTAAAAGTTAACCAAAAGACAAAGTTTATGAGGCCAAGAGGCAAGGTCAAGCTCGCCTAGTTGTTAGTATCTCCTTAAAAAGGTTTTCAGACTATCCGCTCACATCCGGTCTTATTATCCTACTTTACATGACGCGCCAATCCTAGAAAGTTTAAATTTGGTAGGAGTACTGAGGGCGATGGTTTCAGAGCGTTCAAATTTGGTAGGAGTACAAGCGACAGGAGGGGTTCACTTATTATAGGTGGCAGTGAAGCACCCCGCCCACAAGGGGCGGGATTTACGCGCGAAAATTGACAATTTGACTCTAGGGCGTTCAAAGTATTCCAGTTGCAAGGAAATTTGACGGAGGTACGCTTCCTGAGATAATACTGAGGATGTAGAGCTTCAAAAAGGAAGAGAAATCGAAGTGTTATTCATGCATAGCAAATTTCTTACAAGGAGGAGCGCTCTGCGAAGCCGGGCGACACCATAAGAAGGGGGGAAGCCTGGCATTAGCTGCGCGGCCTGACTGGTGAAATTATAAAATTGTCCGGGAAGTGCAAGCCGAATATGTGGTGATGAGGCTCAGGATATGCTGAGAAAATCGATTTTTACTATTTAATCTTTTCTACTTTAACTCAAAATGATTCCGCGTGAGGTGGTTAGGAGAGGCCTCAAAGCGTCCACTTCACAGTGAACAGTGTGATACCGGATCCATATCAGAGGTCATATTTTTCTTCAGCTTTGAATAGGGACGTTATTCTTAGAAGAGAGCATCTGTATGAAGAAAGTGTTGCCTAAAAAGGGAGTGTTGAAGAAGGGATCAGGGAGAAGAAGCTCAATGTGACTCTGAAGCGCCTTCGGCTCACAAACAGAATGATCATCGACTCACCCATCACTTTGAATTTCCTCGTTGTCAGAAGTCTGTGCGACTAAAGCAGGATTGTTGAGAAGGTCGATAATAGTGTAGTTTGATTGAAAAGATATAATGTTAATGATTGTGAAAGGAAACATTCGCTGGTTGAAAGTGAACTCCCACTTACTGGGAAGGCCTGTACTCCTCCTGACGGAACCGAATGTTCAGCACGACATAGTGGGCACTTGAGTTTCCCTGATTGTGAAATGATGTGAAACTTCATGCACATTTCGAGGCACGACAAACAGAATGTATGCTGACAAGGAAGCACCTTCGGCTGCCTTAATTAATGAACTCACATCAACTATGAAGTTGGAAAGAGAACTATATCCACAAAATTACCCCGCCAGGTGAATCAAAACTTCAAAATGATATGAAAATATGGTTTTTAGGGGGTAGAGTTTTTAAGAAATTTGCAAACCTGTAAGGTACGATGCAAATGCAGCATGTAAGCAAATTTTCGATCTCTTGCTGAGGTGCACAAGACGATGCCTCTGCACCACCACGTAAGCGACCTACCACGTGGAGTTCACATTCATTTTGGATTCCATAATACGACAAAGTATAGTTGTCTTCAAGCTGTCGTCCTAAATACCTTATTTCCGTATAATCATGTCGATAAATAGAGGTGCTACAAGTCCAGATGAAGATTTTTCCATAGCCATTTCTATAATGTCCATATCCTAGATGATAGTTTCGAACTAACCCCCACTCAACAGCCCAACCAAATCTCTTCACGATCAACCACGCAGGACAGATTTCAAAGTCCCGGAAATGCGATATACAGTAACATGAAGAAACACTCCAACGCCTTCAAACACCCGTCACATATACGACGCAGCTAAAAGGTATCTTGGGCGAGGCCATTCGAAGGGCCGTAAACAAAGAGAGACAAGATCAAAAACTATTTCCTCGAGCCCCTGGTTGTTTGGTTTTTGATCTTGTTCTTCTTTGTTTTCAGTCCTTCGAAGGGGTTGACCGACCGTCTGCCTCCCTCTTCCCACCCCCCTAGCACTGCCTCGTCACGCCGGCACGCCGGCATGCACGCAGGCGGACCATGAGAGCAGCCATTCACGTGGCATTAATATCCCTGTGTCGGCCGCAGCAGGAGTAAGGAACAGGATAATGGTGATTTTGGTAGAGTTACAAGGACTGTGTTACTTTAATATTGAAGGAAATTTACCTGCAAATATCAGCCGCTGTTCGTTTGGAGGATACCATGTACCTTTGGCGAGCTTACTATGCACATTAAACAGAATCTTAACATCTCCAATGCTGAGAGAAGGTTCAACTTCGAAAGTGTTCGTCTCGCCAGTGAGTGTCTTAACAGAGATCTGCATCCCACCACAACGAATTAAATAAAGAGCAGTATTAACTCCGAGCTTCCCTGAAACTACACTTGACAACCAGCAAACTTGAAGGGACCATTCCCACGACAGCACGGGACATAGGAAAAAAGCGCCGGACGAATTGAGGAATAAATAACTACTGAAAATTACAGCAACCGAAATTGGATTGCACGCTTTATGAGAAATCTGTGGTGGACGATATGGACTAAGGTGGAATACATAAACAGGCGAGAGTTTCGTAAAAGTAGATCTTGTTAGTAACTGTATGGGCGCCTTCGGCATTCAACGACGAACGACGTGCCTGCGTGTAAACGACCACAGCGTTTTTTTGATAACGCTGGACATCGATCGGAGTTATCGGAAATATCTCACGCAGCCCTGAACGCAATCTTGTAAACAACGCATGCCGTTGAACGTAGTTGGAGGAGGAAGGGGCCCGCACAGCAGTGTGAGTCTATCAAGGGCTTGAATCGGTCTTATGTGTTATCCCGCAATTTATAACTCAGCCTTAGGAAAGAAGAAGCTCCGCCGTGGACGAGTTTTCAGTTTTTCTCACTAAGCGATCATCTCACACACCCCGAGGCTGGCTCCTACCCTCCTAAGGCCAAGTTATTATAGAAGAAACATCATCCCCTGGCCAAAACTGCATAGGGGCGCACACATGACCGAAGTCCGTCCTCCTCATCTCTAATACAGTGCTATCAGTATGACGCTGGATGTCACCAAAAAGGATCACCAAAAAGTAGTGGAATAAAAGCTGTAATGATCATTCCCTTAAGAACTAGTAAATCCTGTAGACTGAACAAAGTTCTCAGTGATGTTATTCTGTATGTTTTCCGCAACACCAAGCGCTAGGGAGCAAGGTAAGAGCTGGAAGGCAGAGCAGGGACAAGGGACCTTTCGAGGCGGTCATGGTGCCTATTTCTATTTCTTGATTGTTTGATGTTGTTCGGTTTCATTTAGAGATGTGAAACACAGCTACAGCAAATCTTCTGTAGCGTCTACAGTGTATTACACCGCTGTGATGCAAACTTAACAGAAACGCTGTTACCCCAACATGTCGTTGCGAGAACAACAGAAGGACTATCAGTTGAGAGGAAATTTCTCTCCTTTACCATGTAGTTCATAGAACAAAAGTTTCGTAATCTTCTTTTTACCACTCGTTATCTTATTTGCATGTTGTAGATCGAAAGGCAAAAGTCTCAACATCTAGAAACATAAAAACAGCAAAACCTCCCACATCGGAATACCCGTAGCTGTTATATCTTTAGTTTTCAAAACCTAAAGGATAATGTTCACCGTTCATCAACCATAAGGTGTACTTGTGAGTATTACATAAGCAGTCAATAAGCTGTTGTTTTCGAAGCTGGGCTAGACCTTCAAACCCGAAGAACCTCTTCGTGGAAAGGTGGATGAAAGCGAATCCTCTAAAGAATCCTCCCATCATCTCACCTGAAACCGAATTCATCCGGTAACGAACGCTTGATGATATATCGGTTCTAGACATGCATAATAGGAAGAAGTATTTGTTAGCTGTTCATCGCAGTCCCCATGAAAGCTGAACGAAGCCTGACATTTACAAACAGCTGCTCCGAGATGCCACTGTGGCTCATTCACAGGATAGGCTTTTCGTCGATTTGTAGGGCAGTTCCACTTTGCAGATGCTTTTTGAGATGGTTCATGTTGCGTTCGCGTTAGAAGCATTGAGGAATCAGCATTAAAAAGCGACTCATGGAGCCTAGACCGGCATCATACTGCACAAAATATTTTAGTGGATTTTCAGGGAAATAGAATATACACGACCTTATATGGATCCAGTAACAATTTGTAAGAAGAGCCAAAGATAACAACATTATCAGTTATATTAGTGGTCTAACGGATTCTCATCCATACTTCACCAGTCGCCTTAAAATTGTTATGGCTACAGTATGCTTTCTGGGTAATCGGCACACTCAACACAACTTCCGTCTCTGTTCAGAGGGCTATGGACAGCCTTAGGATACATGGTATCAGATGAATTGCTTTTTCTTCTCGCCGAGCTTCTTTCTCATTTCATTCCCATTTTGTTCTAACTAATTGTACTTAAACAATGCCATTTCTTGAGGAAATGCTGCGATTTTTCCTGGAAAGGCAACCAGGTCGCTATGAGAACTTTGGTCAGCTCAGCGACCTCCACGTCCAATCGAATCATCTTGAATTTCATGTGGATTCTACCTCATAACAAAATGTGATATAAAATAAAGATTATTCATGGCGATCCGCCGTAGATTGCTATTGCTCTCTGGATTCCATTCTGCCAGAAACGTCCCTTCCTCATAAATTTGCACCCAGAAGTCGAATTCACACCGTACTACTAATGGCCACACCTTCTATTTTCTGGGGGAGATTCCTCATGACTAGGTAAATCGTCCGCTCAGAACATCCATAGAAACTACTGCTTCATGGAAGTGTCGGTTTTTGTCAGACCTCCCACCTGGTATCCCGCGCTTTTGCTACATCGTAGAAAACGTTGAAGCAACATGCAAATTTCGATCACCCATCGTTTTTTGTGCTCCAAAATAACAACAGAGATAAACACCCCAATGCAATAGCTTCTGTACCTGTTGGGGGTCAGTGGAAGAGGGGCAATGAGGCCGCTACCAGTTTCATTTGCGCAGAGATCGAGTTGCGATTGCTCGAGCCATCCGAGCCATCCTTCCCTCTAGGGCATATGTATTGGTACTATTCAGGATAACAGGATAACAGCAATATCATCATGGTCCTGATAAGATATGCTAGGGGGGAGGCTGCCAATATCTATGTCAAAAACTTTAGCGCTCATTCGTTCGAATCCCTTTTGAAGCCAATCGTCGAACTGCTACAAACTAAAGTCTCCTATGTTGTCCCTAAATGTTAAGAATATTGCAAAAGCTATCACTTTACTCGTGTGATCATTGTGATGAAGCACTCTCTAAAAACCCAAGATATTCCGTCCAATTTAGGGTCATGCTTCTTCGTCAACTCTTCGTTCCGCCATTTGTGTGGCTCCTTCTTCTCACACAGGTGTGCTTCATAGAATGAAATTTCGAACAAATGCTTCCTCACTGTTCGGCAGACGGTTTGTACAGAAACGGAAAAATTTATGCCTGAGTGGTAATTCACCCTATGAACTCCCCGGGGTCGGCTGAGTGGTGCCAGATCCGTCTGGGAGGATAAATACACTGACTCATACATCAGCGCAAGTAAGTGTTTAAGCCACGTAGCCACAACGCCACCAAGATCCAGAATAGAAGTAGAGTGTGGGGCGCATCCCTCATACGTGATTGATCAACGCCCAAAGAGGTCTTCTGAGCAAAGCCATTAGGTCATCCAAGTTGCAGCTATTCCTTTATGGTAGTACTGGGAATTTGTTGAAGATCTGTTACGATTTCAGTTCCACACTGAAAAAATTCTACTGTTTCTACTATTCAATCATGAATTTGTGGACGAGTTATGTCCCCT